TTATTCATATGGAATAACCGTTTTATAAAAGCAATAAGCCCCGTGAAGCCGTGGTTTACAGTGAATTTATAACAGCTTTGCGTCGTACCTAACGACGCCCCTTAGCTGTTATAAACCACGGCTTCTTGGGGCTTATTGCTTTAATTTCAGATGATGCATAAATCTCAATTTTAAAAAAATGACCCGTATGACTGGTTTTGTGCTGCAGGGTCACAACACAGGGATGTTTCCAGGCTGGTAAAGCAGCAGCGGGTGTTTTGCGGTCAGCTGCTGTTGGTGATGATGACCGATGTGGCGTTGTGCGCGGCGCTGGTCTGAAAGTGCATGTGTGCGTTCACATAATAACGGGACAATCTGTCCGAGCCGGGACTGCTCAGACCGGACAGCGAGGCTGGACTCTCGTCTCTGTCGTCTCGGTGCAGGACGAGACGGGGCGGTCCTCGGCAAACAGAGGAGAAGACATCGCTCATGCAGCCGTCCTCCACCTTAATCTGCTCCTGTCTGGCACCCATCTGGTTCTGGGATGCCCGGATTTCATAGCAGTTGTCTCCCGAATCGCCCGAGGAGCCTGGAGATCCGTCTGCACGCACCTCGTCCCAATGAGCTGCCGAAGAGATTTCATGAAACCGTGACATTTTTTGTGAGCTGAAGCTCCCTGAGGACCGATTATGAACTTCTGTGTTTGTGTGTGTATATAAAGATGTTCAGTTGTAGATATTTTTATTATAAAACAGATAGTTCCGGTGCTTGATTCTGATTGGCTGAGCCGCGTTCAAAGCTGTTGTAAATGACTCTACAAAGTAACATACACCTTTGTTTACGTTTGTGTGTTGCTCAGCAACCACTTTGTAGCAACCACAACTGTTTCTGAGGAGCTACATTGTTTGGTGGAAGAATACTGTTTTTATTAATATCATTACACTTTATTTGCTCTGTTTTATTTTGTGAAATCTAACTACGTATATGGAATAACATAACAACGCCCCTTAGCTGTTATAAATTCACTATAAACCACGGCTTCACGGGGCTTATTGCTTTATTGCTTATCAAGTCAGATTTTAAAGGTGCATTACAATTTAAAGTCGTGAATAAAAGAATGGTACGTTTGAAAAACATAAATATGAACACTTATGTACTTTATCTAGTATCTAGTAGCCTAAAGACATCAGCCACAAAACTATTTAAACACTTTCATTTTTAAAAACAAAGTATAGCTGTTTTGGTAAACGAGAAGAATGAGAATGTATTGAAGAACGCACCAGTTAGAAATTTAGTTGTTGTGGTTTGTTTAAAAAAAAAAGAAAAAAAAAAGAATACTTTTATTCATCAGGGACGCATTAAAATGATCAAAAGTGACAGTGAAGACATGTATAATGTTACAAAAGATTTCTATTTCAAATAAATGCTGTTCTTTTGAACTTTCTATTCATCTGTGAATCCTGAAAAATAAATTGATTATATTATTATAGCTCACAAAAAAAAAAAAAGGTAATTACTTGAAATAAAATAAACATTATATACATATGCTGTATATAAACTCATAAATTAATGAATAAATTATTTAATATTATTTTGGAAATTATTTAAATTAGTATTTAAATTAATTTATTACACTTAAATAATTACGGAAAATATAAAAATAAAAACTGGTTCAAAATAGTAATAAAAGCAAACAAAAATCAGCATATTATACTCTGTGAATCCTGAAAAATAAATTGATTATATTATTAAAGCTCACAAAAAAAAAAAAAAGGTAATTACTTGAAATAAAATAAACATTATATACATATGCTGTATATAAACTCATAAATTAATGAATAAATTATTTAATATTATTTTGGAAATTATTTAAATTAGTATTTAAATTAATTTATTACACTTAAATAATTACGGAAAATATAAAAATAAAAACTGGTTAAAAATAGTAATAAAAGCAAACAAAAAGCAGCATATTATACTGATTTCTGAAGATCATGTGACACTGAAGACTGGAGTAATGATGCTGAAAATACAGCTGCGCATCACAGAAATACATTACAGTTTAACAGATATTCACATAGAGAGCAGCTGTTTTACATTATAATAATATTTCACATTTTTTACTTTTTTTTCACAGCCTTGGTGAGCAAAAGAGACTTATTTTAGAAACATTACCAAATCTAAATTATTCCAAGTTTCCAATCCTCAGTTTCCACAGAAATACACACTGTTTTCAGCGTTGATGATGATCAGAAATGTTTCTTGAGCAGCAATGATTTCTGAAGGATCATGTGACTCACCGTGAGTTTGATGGTTGTGTTGAGTTGCTTTAGTGGCATCCCACCATCCCTCTCTGCCGCTGACGCTCTGATCACACAGCTGTGTGTGTGAAGCGTGTGTGTGTGTGTGTGTCTGAGCACACGTGTCCAGTCGCTGCGGGGAGGCGGAGTCTGTCACAGGGCTGCCGTCCCATTGGCTGTCGCGGTCGGAATCTGAGCGCTCGTTCTGGAAGAACGAAAACTGCTGAAAAAAACAGAACAGGAAGTGAGGAGAGAACCCTTGAAAACACACTCAGGAAAAATATTCAAAATATGTATTCATTCTTTTTTTTTTTCTTAAGATCTCAAAAGTTAAAGGTGAAAACGTTCATTGAAAGTGGACAGTTGACATCATGTGTAATTTCTCATTATTTTTTTTCTGTAATATTTATTTATAGTATCTCTTAGAATTATTTATTTTCATTATTTGGCTGGACTCCAAAATCACACATTTTGTCTTTTAAAAAAATAAAGCAACTTATTGAAGTTGTCGTAGCTTTTTAGGAATTTCAATTAAACATTAAAAGTGTCATAAAATGTGAAATACTGTAAATGTGCATAAAAAAAAATAAGATTTTTTTTTCTCATTTTCATTTAGTTTAACTTAATGTAACTTAAAATAATAATAATAACATAAAAACAAACTTATTTTATTTCAGTTCGTTTCCAAGGCAACAATTCTCATTTTCATTCAGCTGAACTTAAAAAATGAAAAAAAAAAAAAAAACTGAAATAAAAACTAATAAATATTTAGACTTATTTAAAAACAACAAAAACTAAAAAAAAAAGACAAAAACACACAACAAAATTACTGAAACACTAACAAAAATTAACATGAACGCAGAAAATATAAAATTAATATCTAATTTAAAATTTTAACAAAAACAAGGACACATTTGGTCAAAAGTAACAATAAAGACATTAAGTACATTAGTTAATATGAACTTAAATAGAACAGTTATTTTGAACTGTAATAATAATGTTTCATAATATTGATGTTTTACTGTATTTTTAAGCAAATAAATGCAGTCTTGGTGAGCAAAATTTGAACAATAGTGTGCATAAATAAATAAACAAACACATACAAATGAACCAGCGATGATAATATAGTGAGTGAAAATTGTGACTAAAAATGAATATATTTAACATCCAAAATATGCATTTTATACATTATGCATTTTTAAGTTTGAGAGCGTCTGTGACCGAGCGTGAAGATAATAATTGTATTGATTTATTTTGATTGACACCTGAGAGAATGGAGAAGCCAGGATCTTCGCTGGGGGTTTGTCCTGACGGTTTGCGTAAGGGAACGCAGGTTTGCTGGGCTTCAGCTGCTCCAGAGACAGCGCCAGGCCTTTATACTCCGTGTCCCTAAACACACACATTATTACAGTCCATATGCTGCATGAGCATGACATTCACTGCTGGAGCGCACCTAAAAATGAGTCAAAAATCCATAGTTTTTAGTACGGGGGAAAAAAAACTTTTGCATATCATATTAATTAAAAAATGAATTGTAACACTTTTAACACCTTTCCTTTCGCATCTGTTTAAAAATTCAAAAAAATTTATAATTTTTAGTGCAGGAAAAAAACTCAGCATATGGATTAGGATTATCAAAATACACTGCCGTTCAAAGGTTTGGGATCAGTAAGACTTGTAACGTTTTATAAAGCTCAGCAAGGCTGCATTTATTTGATCAAAAATACAGAAAAAACAGTAATGTTATTACAATATAAAATAATGGTTTCTATTTTAATATCCTTTAAAATATAATTTATTTCTGTGATGCAGCGCTGAATTTCCATCATCATTACTCCAGTATAAAGTGTCACGTGATCTTCAGAAATCATTCTAATATGCTGATTTATTATTAGAATTATTAATGTTGTCCTGCCAAATATTTCTTTTGGAAACTGCGATACTTTTTTCAGGATTCTTTGATGAATAAAAAGTTAAAAATAACAGCATTTATTCAAAATATGAATATTTTCTAACAATATAAATCTTTGCTATCACTTCTTATCAATTTAACACATCCTTGCTGAATAAGTTTTAATTTCTTTCTTTCTTTCTTTCAAAAAAAAAAGAAAGAATAGAAATGTACCGACCACAAACTTTTGAACTGTAGTGTATATTGTTAGAAAAGATTTCTATTTTAAATAAATGCTGTTCTTTTTAACTTTTTATTCATCAAAGAATCCTGAAAAAAAGTATCACAGGTTCCAAAAAAATATGAAGCAGCACAACTGATAATAAATCAGCATATTAGAATGATTTCTGAAGATCATGTGACACTGAAGACTGGAGTAATGATGCTGAAAATACAGCTGCGCATCACAGACATACATTACAGTTTAATGTATATTAAAATAGAAAAACGTTATTTTACATCATAATAATATTTCACAATGTTACATTTTTTCCTGTATTTTTGATCAAATAAATGCAGCCTTGATGAGCAGAAGAGACTCCTGTAAAAACACATTAAAAATCGTTCTGATCCCAAACTTTTGACCGGTAGTGTATATATATATATATATATGTATGTATATATTGTTTATTGTCCTGAAAAGCACGAGTGCAGATGTGATTTTATACAGCGGTTCAGTAAATAAGAAGTTAATATTGTGTTATATTTTATTTGATTTTTTCTCAGTTTTGCTAACGCAGATATTACCTGTGAACTGTGTTTAGTTTCTGAATGAATCTGCGTTTTGAACGAACCTTTCGTGTTCAGGTCACTTTTGACCTGGAAGTGAATGGCGGCTTTACACATGATTTTTTTTAAATTGTATTTATTCATTCATTTATTTTATTTTTTTTACATGCATTAGTTAGATTTGTCTCAAATTACTTCTGTAAAATACATTCAGCCTCGTATCTCACACACACTTTTAGGACTGAATTTTGTGGGTAAATTTGCACACTCATCAGATACAGTATGGTTTCAGTTGACAAATATGAAGTTATGACTGTTTCAGCTGAGTGTGTAAGGTGTTTTCTTAAAGCGACAGGAGGGTTAATCAGTTAAACTGAGTCCTGTGACACAAAGCAGAGCTTGTGAAATGTGTCTGATTTCTGATTTCACAGCTGTGTGTCTGAACTGAACTCACGAGACACACAGCAAACAGCCTTCATTCTGCTCTTATCATTACGAGACGCAGGCTTTTCATTGCTCCTGACAGCGGTGAGATTGTGCAGTGAGCATTTACTGTGTTTCAGACCACCTCGGTTTGACACAGCACTGTAAACCGAAAACTTCAAGGAAATTTAAAAAACATAACAGTGTTTGATCCGCATATATATATATATATATATATGTACATGGGTCAAAGACGTTAAGATGTCCGCATCAAAGGAAATGTACAAAAGTAAAAGATTTTGCGCAGAAGTGTGGCCATGTGGGAATAGACAGCAGACAAATTCTGAAGGGAAAAAAAAAGCAAGCACATGTATCCTCATTTAGAACAGTGTGGTCTGAAATCATCTCTGCAAGGCAGTCTACAAGTCAGAGGGAGCTGAGCGTTCCTGCCAAGCACAGGATGTGAGCTCTGCCCAAGGAAACAGCAACACTTCCTGTTTTTGCCATATGCATAGCTAGGAGCACAGACCTATGCTGTGACTGAGAACTAGTATAACAGTACACGGGTCAAAGACGTTAAGGTGTCCGCATCAAAAGAAATGTACAAAAGTGATTTTATGTCCATAGAAAGCACATTAAATGTAAGTAAAGTGTCGACTTTGAAGGTTCCAAATAAGTTTTTGTAGAATAAAATGTCAAGATTTGGTTGAAATAATGTTACATTGTCATTCAGTGTAACACAATATTTATGTAAAAATTCAAACATGCTTATTCTGACGTGTACATGTTAAAATATATAAAAGAATAAGGGAGCGTATTAAATTTGATTGTGTTTTAAATTCTTACTGACAAATGAGCAAAACCTAGGAGAGTGGCAAATTTTAGAAATGTAAAATTACAGCTAATCAGTATTTTGGGTGAAAGTAATTACTCTTTTAATTTGTCATAAATAGATTTTTGTTGTAAATATGCCTGACAAGACTGTTACACTGAATGACATTTTAGTGGGTCATAAATTGATTTTTGTTGTAAATATGCCTGACAAGATTGTTACACTGAATGACATTTTAGTGGGTCTCTTCTGTAAATCAGGGAAAAATGTATGATGTTTATTTTTTGCTCAGAAAAACAAAAACAAAATTGCAATTAAATTAAACAGAAATTTTTAACATTTTTTGAGGGAAAAACAACAACAATTTAGAGTAGTATTATACTTATTGTCTTTGACCCATGTATGTATGTATAAATATATCTGATCGTTGTTGGATCGTGTGGCGTGTTGGAGAGGGAGATGTTGCTGGACTCACGTGAGGACGTAGTTGACGCTGACGATGCAGTAATGCACAATGAAAACAATCTGTACAATCCGTGTCGTTCTGCCTGAGCTCGGGCCAAGCACATATTTGTTCATGTGAAGAGTGTGATTTTTTTTTTTTTTTGCGGAAAGCGCGTTAAGTATAAAAGCATGGTTTACATACTAAATAATAGTTTAGCATTCAAATAAATCGTGAATATAGAAACATTTGGATTCGTGCCAAATGATAGAGGAAGGCTGCGTGAGAACAAAGGCGTTTGCTTTCTTTAATTCGTTTTGGCTTGTTTAGCAACTTATATTTTGTATTCTTGTTTTGTTCTGAATACAGTTAAATGTAAAGGATTTGTTGTGGAGTGAGGGGAACTAAATAGGCTATATAGCGTTTATAATGTTTGCAAATGTTTCGTTAAATTTACCATTATTTAATATACATTTACATTACATTATTTAATAATACATTATTATTGTTTTCAGCCGCCACATTTACCAATTTCAAGATTGGCAGCATATGACTGTTTCATGAACCACACATGAACCCTGTCATAAGTTGATTTGTGCACTCAGTTGTTTCTACGATAGATAGATTAATGAGGCCCGGTGTGTTTGTAGCAAATGTCAAAACATTTAACCTATTAAGACACCAAGTGTATCGTCATGGTGCATGGCACGGCTGTGAACTGTGTCCAGGTGGTCCTTCTCATTTTGTTATGCCGTGGGATGCAAGAAATTTTTTTGGATGAAATTCCAACAATAAAATTGAAACAGAATTGTTTGAGTGTTGCTAATAAAATCAGTACATGAATAATTTATTTATTTTTTATTTTTTTAAGAAAGAAATGCTTTAGTTAGAATATTTTTATTACGTGAGTTGTATATATTTTATTATAGTTTATGTTACTGTTGCTATTATCAACCATTCACAACAATTCCACAACATTCTAATTTATTGAGATGCACCTGTATATATATATATATATATATATATATATATATAATATTTTAGTTTTTTTCTTTACATGACAAATAAATAACAGCACAAACACTTTACATTACTTTTACACATTTTCAGTATAAAGCTACAAGATTCAGGACTTTGGATTCCTCTCTTTAGGACGAATACTGATATGATCTGGACTCACGGAGGTGATGAGCACAGCGCAGGTGAAAGCTGTCACAGCTGTGCACGTGATGATACAGGGTCTTCTCAATCAGGTCCTGTGGCTCATATCCTGTCAGCTCTGAAACCCTTAGAGCACAGAACAGCCCTGAATCAGTGTAACGTACAAGATGAAAGACATTTAACCACCACGCACCTGACACTCACCGGGAGTCGAGGAAGATGAGCTTCATGTCTAGACTGGCTCTGAACATGAACATGTTGCTGTGAAGTCTTCTCAATCAGGTCCTGCGGCTCATATCCTGTCAGCTCTGAAACCCTTAGAGCACAGAACAGCCCTGAATCAGTGGAGCATCTATAATAACAGTCATGCTTTATTTGTTTATTTAATGTTTTATTTGTTAGGGACAGATACAATAAACCTAGATGAAACTGAAATAACAGTCATCCTATGCATGTATCATAGTGCTTGTTGCTAAAGACACACTATTACTTATTAACTAGTTACTCCCCAACACTGGTGATAATATCATCGAAGTTAAAAGCAGGTCATATCTCACCTGGAGTCGAGGAAGATGAGCTTCATGTCTAGACTGGCTCTGAACATGAACATGTTGCTGTGAAGCTTGATGTCGGTGACGGCGCTGGGAGGTAAAGTGTGTCCCACCGCCACCAGACCCACGTTCTGATAGCAGTCCAGCGCAGACGTCTTCAGATAGCCGCTGCAGTGGATGACCTGCGGGGTCAAAGGTCACGCTCCGTCAGTGTCTGTCAGCTGACGCGGTGTGTGTGTGTGTGTGAGTGAGTGTGTGTGTGTGTGTGTGAGAGAGTGTGTGTGTGTGAGCGTGTGTGAGTGTGTGTGTGTGTGAGAGTGTGTGTGTGTGTGAGAGTGTGTGAG